TGATTACCAAAAGTCCCACGGTGACAAAATCCACCAAGCACCTGTTCACTAATTAACAAGTGTGTTTTTGGTTTACGGCATTATATCACTATGTGCCATGCTAGTTCTTGGCCAGGTGCACAGAAATCAAATGTTTTGTTTTTTGTATGGATTAAACATCATACAATGTGTTTATTAGAGAGCTTTAGAGGTGCTGGTTGGCGGATGTTGTTGCCTTCAGTCAGAACCAGGCTAGATGTTTCCCTGGTCTTTATGCTAAGCTAAGCTACACTAACTGGCTGCTGGCTGTAGCTTCATACTCATCGTACAAACATGCGAGCGACATCAACCTTCTCGTCCAACTCTCAACGAGAAAGCAAATTTCCCAAGATGTTTAACTACTCATTTAAAGCACACCAGATTAATATGCAATGGTTTGTCATTTGAAATGAGGAAACATTTACTCTGTTGTGTCTGAAACAACCTCTGCAACGCTGAGTGTTTTATCTTTAAGTATAATGAGACATGTCATTTCCGACTAACTCCAATCATTGAACATTAGCCTGAAAAAGCCCAATCATCACACAGTATGAAAACATAAATTGGCTGTCTGTCATCTCAAGTTTAATGATTAGACTGACATGGTACTGCACCAAACATAAAGACCATTCAATTCAGCACGGCAGTTGCTGTTTTTCACAGCAATTACTCTATTATTGAATTTGACAAATTTTAATAGAAATGACTGTTTGGGGGGGGGGGGGTAAGGTGCGCCTGAGAAGCAGATTTATCTTGGAAACAAAAGGACGTGTCAGTGAGTCACATTGACATCTTGGAGGCATTTCCATTCATGCATTTCTTGCAAACAAACAGGTCTGTGAGAAACTCTAAAAAGATTTGTTCAGAGGTAACTGGTGGGAAGATCAATTGAATATTTGCCAAACAGGCACATTGTTGCCCACGTTGCTCTTTTCTCTCTGAAGAATAAAACTCATTAAATAGAATAAAACTGCAGAAAAGAATGTTCGTAGCCAAAGTCAGCGTGTGTTGAGCGTTGCGCGTGTTGCATGTTGTTGCTCCGCTGAGTTGAAAGAGCCTCACACATATTAATCAAGCATCTGAAACATTCCCTTGTTTTCTTTCACGTTTTCTTCATCTCCTAATAGGACTTCATGAGCATCTTTTGTGGTCTTTACACGTTTCGTTCTAGTTTTTATAGATTGTTTTTTCTGTCTCTTATTTTTCTTTTAGTCCTTCAGTGCAGCACTTTGTAACTCCTGGATGTAAGTGCTGTGTGCATTAGGGGGTGGAGGTAGACTCTGATACAAGGTAGTCTGGAAATAGTGGTTCAATGTGAGGAACATTTACTAAAGTCCAGTGTTGAACTACTTGAATATCTCCATTCTGTGATACTTTATGCTTTAACTGAGCTATATTTTACAGGTAAATACAAGCTAAACATTACATAAACATATTAATGTGTCAGTATCAATAATCTCTTATATATTACAGCAAGCATTTTACTTTTAACAATTCATGTACATGCTGCTGATAAACATTCTGTAGTTTTTAAGCACTGTTTTATCATTTCTTACCAATGAGTGTGCCTTTTTTTCATCATTCATGCACCTAAATAATTCATATAAAAAAACACACTGCCAACAACATTGCTCAAAATACAACAAACAATTTCACGAATGTAACTGAATAAATAGCAGAGCCAACTCGCCCCTTATAAGTTTTACATTATAACATACGTATATACCATAATATTTACATTCAAACATGACTCAATACATGATCACCAAGTCTTTGCCATACGTATATTAACCCAGACATCAATACAATATTTGGCGAGTCACATTTTTCCAGTTCAGAGCAGTGAGTAGCAATATAGACTATAATATAAATGTATACTCTTTTGCTTGAAAAGTAAGATACAGTGGGGAGAAAAGTGGAAAAAAAACATCTGAAAGGAATATTTGTAAATTAGATTGTTGAGATCATATTAATAACCTCCTAAAACTTTTGTCTTCCAGCAGACCCCAGTTCTGTACTTTTACATATGTTTTTGAATCCAGGACTTTTACCTGCTATATAGTATTTTTACACTCTGGCATTCATACTCTCACTCAAGAGCTAAATGCCTCTTTGTCTTCTGGTAATTACGGTCTCACCATGCACGGCTTTGTGAGTGAATTCTTAAAATACAAGATCACAATGTGTTTTGGGGCCGTGTGTATTTGTAGGTGAACATTGCCTGAGCATCACCACATGCTGCATGCTACAGGACAGCAGAGTCAGTAAAGACAGTGCTTCCTCTCATATTGCTGTGTGCACGGAGCTGCTACTTAACTGTCCCTGAGCTGCAGGAATCGCTGGAGGACCACTGGAGAAATGATTATCCGGACACCGGTGGGCTGCTGGCTGCTCCCACTGGCAAAGCAATCACTGTGTTATTTTGGAGAGAATGAATTGCCGAACATTTTAAGATTAGACCACTTAATCCCCAAATGAATGGCTCAGGGCGTTGATAGAGATTGTACCAACATTTGTGTCTTGTCGTTTATCCTCTAATGGCTCACGTCACTCCATGTTTTTTAATGCATCTCATATTATTCTGGGTTTTATACGACTGCGAAAGGAGTAATTGTTTTCTTATGAGACTCCCTATAGTGAAAGCATAAAAAGTGTTATCCTCTCCTTTGGTTTTTCTTTGTAGCCGATCCAACTCCGTGCCTTCACACAATGTCCTGGGGCTGTGTGTGATTTGCTGTGGTCCTGGCCACAGCTCAGCGCGCGGTGATGTCGTCTCCAATTACCAAGAAGCACAGATCTCTCCAGAAGTGTGCAAAACAACACCAAAACGAAAAAAAAGCAGCAAAAATTGTAGTGTGTAAGCAGTGTTGAAATAGAGGCTGCAGAGGATATGAGTTTCCTTGTTCAAAGAGGTGTGTCCTTGCAATCTGAATCAGTCAGAAAGGTCTGTGCCCTACGGGGATTCCCATCATCTCTCTCAGACCTTGATACCAGGTTGAAGACGGAGCGTGCACCCGCTCTTTTATCCAGCCTGAGATTGGTGACTTGATTGAAGAGCCCAGCAGAGGAGACGCTGTTCTTCTCCTCCACACCGAGAGGAAAAGCAATGTTCCACAAGACTACACATTCATTACTCAAAATAAATCTCCATTAAACAAATGCCATAAGCATAATTAGGCTATAGGAATAATTATAATTGTGATTAGTTTCTCCATGGGCCGACCTATGTAAATCGTGATTGACACCCGGCAAAAACGGAGTGCATAAATCAGGCTTCAGAGATACACAGACGCACACTGCAGCACAATAACAAGCATCCAAATACAGAGCAGACAAAGGGACTCAGGGCCTGGGTGGCTGGAAACATGCCACCACTGCACATTCGCTATCAATGCATACAAGACTATAACTACTGTATGTTTTTCATATAAGAAATAAATCATTAGTCAAAGAATGCATTACATTGCAATATAATATATAGAAATATAAAGTACACTCAGTTGCAGGTCCACCTACTAATACAGTCAAATTGAACAGTCCTGCAATAAGTTCTATACCTTCTATCACTGTTGTGATCTTCAGTTTACGTTGAAGCCGTTTGTCTCGTCCTTTTCATGCGATTGTGGACAAAATATATAAAGACCTGTCTGAAACAGAGGTAACAAAGCACAAAAGCTAAATGCATAAATTGGATGATTGGATTCAAACAAGGGTCAACCTGTGTCTCAATCCCATCCTACATAAACAGCACATAGTACACTTCATGGTATAATGTTCTTGCAGTTAGTATTTAAGAAATAAACAAACTCTTTTCTAGGATAGAAGAACAAAGGGACGTTTTTTTTTCTTGTGTAAAGACTGTTTTGAGTGTACTTTTTAAGGTAGTTTCCAGTGTAAACACACTACATGCTCAAAACTTGCTTAGAATTAGTAAATAGTGTGGATTTCGTACCAGATTTCACACCAATCTATCCAATAGTTGTTGAGACATTTCACAAAAAAATTAAATGTCAACGTACTCGTGGAGCTACAGGAACATTGAGGGAATCACCAGCATCTGTGGGCTTTATCCTCTGGGGACCATGAACGTCTGAAAAGAATCTATTCAGTTAATGTTAAGATATTTTAGTCTGGAACCAAGTGGTGGACCAACATCGTCTTCCCTAGAGCTATGCCACGAACATGGCTAAAAACACAAAAGGGCTTGCGAGATGTAGATCACGTTGCCACTGAGCTATAATCTGTCATGAGATGCTACAAACTCACAAGTCGACTCTTGTGGCGTAAACCTCAGCAATATTTGCAGTGAAGCTTCTTAAAGAAGCAGTCGCTTTTGTTTTAAAATGCACCGCCGATATGTTTTAACACACATGATGCAACAGGACAGACTGTGGCAGTGGACTCCGACACCTTTCATCTAAAGCCAATAAGTAAAATAGCACAGAGGTCCCGGCGTCTCTCTTCAAAAGGAAGCGATTACAGCGCGAGCCTTGATCTGGCCTGCCGCACCAGGGTCCCGCTGGCTGGGCAGTCCTGATATTTGTGAGCAAATTAGAACCAGTCTGTGGATTCCTCTTGATGTGCACCTTTCATCTCCAAAAGCCATCTCTTAGGGAAACAATAAGCAGCCCCACCCATCCTTTTCAACTCACCAGGTGGGGGGCAGCAGTGCTGATGTGAACTGAACATTGCTTTTTTTGTTATTCTCTGCAAGGCTGGTCTGTCAATACACGTGGTAGAACCAGTGTCAGCAGGTTTAATGCATATGCAGAAGAGCCAGACAGGTTGCGTGTGGCTTCTTTTACATTTTAATGGAAAAGCTGGGAATGACGGATAAAGCCATTAATGAAAGAAAAACGTATTCCACAACCAGAAACCAAAAGGAGACGTATTCAGGCTCTAGGGTCCAGACGTGCCGTATGGAAACCCATCTCTTGGCTTCACACAACCCCCCCCCAAAAAAAGACTACAAGCTAAACAGGTATGATATGTTCACATTTATTGTGCAGTGACTTTTATATACATACATTTTATACACCTAATTTACATGAACAGAAATAAATTAATCTGCTTATGTTCTTTAACTCATCCGGCTTTACTGTTGCCACTGACTGGACACAGCAAAAATAATTCAAAGTGACACATGACATGGCAGTAATATGAGTCAATGTAGACTAGTTTTCATTAGTGTTATATCTTACACATAGAAAGAAGCAGTTGGTAAGAGTTTTAGTGATAACTTCTAAAATGTTAAAAACATCTATAGGAATCTATGAATATAAGGTTGTTTTTTTTTTTTAAAGCGAGGCCATTAATCACAAAGCATTGTATTCATTTCAATTGGTTGACAAGTTCCAACAATACGTTCAGTCCACAGTGCAGACTGCATTACAATACACTTCTGTAATGTTGGGAATCCGTCATGGATATTCTTTCAACCGTCTTTTGAGGAAACTTCTGATTTAAACTTCTTTTAAATATAAAAATAATATCAAATAGGAGTGGTTTTTTTAAGAAAAAAAAGATCTAGAAAATGTAAAAGTTGTGAACAGTTCCCCGCTGTCAGCAGGTAAATGAGACTTAATCAAAATTATCTAAAAATTGCTTTAATTTAGACCATAGCTGCATCATTACGCACCAGACTGACACGAAGTCTCAGCATGATATCATAGACACACTGTTTCATTCATTTTTGTCTTTTAAACACAAAGTTGCATTTTTTTTAATGCATGTCTATACATTCATTTTCACAATATTTTATGTTATTTAATTGACTGACGTGGGTTTGTCTTATTTTCATCTCTTATCTTAGCCTGAGGACATCTAGCAAGTAGCTACCGATGTCTCAACGTGGCCAAACAAATGCCCTGCAGAGGTCAACATTACCAAAAACATCTTACGAACTGCATCTTTACCCTTAGAGATGACTATTACTATTGTGCTACACACAGGATTCATCACTGACAGACACACAAAGATAAAACACAACTTGGCTAATTAGTGTTTTCTTTATAAAAAAGCAACTCTAACGAACTAACGTGAATATCATCTTAATTGTGTACGCTGTAATGTGCGGAAACAATAAAAAAAATACATTAACTGTAGACTCGCCAGGGCCCGCACTTGTCAAAATGTGGCCCGGGAAAAAAAGTAAAAATGTAAACCAGTGGAGAAATCCTCTAGGTTTCGCATATACACAAACTGTAAATACAAACATTAACCTGCTCTCAATCTTTTCAGTGTGAAGGAACTCACAGGAAGTCCAACGTTCTACTGCTAGCTTATGATACACACCGACACTAACTAGAGTGACATGCCTATGAAACACGAAACAACACACTCCAGCCTCCTCTTACTGCACAGAAACACAGAGAAAGAATTTACAGGATACACTGATGGGTCTTAAGCACTACACCAGAACTCTAAGCTCTCAAAAACATGCAGCTTGTGGTGAGTTTCTACAGTACTATTCAGTAGTTGTTGGGTGACAAATGGCTGTGTGAAAACCCAGAGTTTGTTTCTTTTGTTACGATTATTTCTTATCACAAGATCTCCATGATTTTCAACATGGCTCTGTTGTTCCGTCGGCCTCGCATCCGATATCCAAAACCAGACTCTCTCTCTCTCGCATTAAAGTGAACAAATAAAACCACGAGGCAGCCATCGCATCACCACACCACCACACAGGGACATCTGATTATTGCACACTAGCACTGAACTTGCAAATGTTCATGCAGAATGTATGAGAAACACACTACACTCAAATCAGTGGTTGCTCACTACGCGGCAGATGACCATACACTTCTTTGGAAGACTAAAATACGTCGTTGGGGAGGGGGGGTCTGGGACACACAACTTGTTACAACCTAAGGGGGGGCGGAGAGGGAGCGAGAGAGAGAGAGAGAGAGAGAGGTGAAATGACGTTTTAGATAAATCAGTATAAGGATACTTGACACCGACTGCAGTACTTTGTTTAAACATAGAAAAGGAGGAGTGTGAGAGATGATCATTGCACCCGAGGAGGGAAAAGGGGAACATTTCTGTGAGAGAATCTAGCAACCTCTGTTTCAAGCAAATTATAGCGTCTGCATGTAAATATATATATTACATCCATATCCAACATTCATAGCATTGTTTCTGTTAAAACACAAAAATAGTTAAGACTCACAGAAAGAATCCCAGCAAAGAAAACCGAAAAGAAAATTAGAGGCCAGGGTTTCATCTGTTTGGAGATGGGGGTTTAAAATCGGTGTATAAAGTAAAAGCCAAAATGGGAAATAAACGCAATCTTTTCACACATTTTCCTCACAAACTATTCCACACACCAGACTAGTGACTAGACGAGTGAAACGGTCGTAAGGCCAAACTGTGGTGGAGTAATGAGAGGAGTGACATTGAGAAAGGGGGCCGTGGTGATGGACCTTGTGTTTGATGGACTGTGGACCATCTTCACTCCCGACTCAAGGGGACTGAGGGCCTGACCTGTAGCTCTTAAAGCTGCCCAGCAGACTCTGCACCCCCTTCTTGACCCGTCGAGCCACCGAGTCAGCAGGAGGAGTGGGCAGGCAGGAGGCCAGGCTGGGCGGACGCGCATCCAAACATTTCTGGTAACGAAGCTGTGAAAAAGACAACACAAACGGGGTAAATGGTTGTATTTACATCTCGTCTCTCCACCTGTACAGTTTGCATGTATTTGTCTATGACTCACCATGCAGGCAGCCTGCACAGCCTCACTCAGACTCGCTGCGTTGGGCTCACACCAAAACATGTGACAGGTGTAATCCTGGGGACCCTCGGCCATGATGAAAGCGAACGAGTGGACGTCCTTCCCCACACCCATGAAAGACAGGAAGCGCACCCTGCACTCTGACAGCACCTCCTCACTCTGCGGGAAGAAAGAGACACCACGGTGAAATAACTCACAAAGTCTACTGTTAGTACTTAAGGTGGTATATGTTCCACGTCATCCCGACACCTTAAAGAATTATATATTATTTCATGTCATTCATGTTCAGTTAGTAGTAGTAACCTGTTTTGAAAGTATCGTGAGGGTTGCCGGTGCGATGTTCACTGAGACGGGTGTCCATTCGCTTTTATCTTTGCCTTTAACTGCTGCCTCCAGCGTGTCGTTGATTATTTCCATACCTGAGAAACACACAAAGCACATCACACAATACATTAACCGTACCAAAATCATAGTTGTGATCAGGACACAAAAAGTAAAAATGTATTTTTAAGGAGTTCAAGGCACAGCCAGTTTAAATAATTACATTTCTTACCGACTGGCTTGGCCACAGCTTCACAGCCAAGGTAATAAACATGGAAGCGGTGGAAGAGTTCATTTTTCGGAGCAGGAAACTCTGTTAAGGAAGGAGGAAGAATCAAGTCTTCTGTATCCACACTTTGAACTATAAGGGTATTCAAAGTACCACAGGCCCTAAAGGTACTTTGCTTTACCTTCGATGGGGATGACCACGTCAGAGCTGAGCCGGCTCACCCCGGGCTTGGTCGCCTTCCTCTCCGTCATTATCTAAAGTCAAATTAAGGAGGTACAGAATTGTGAATCTCAAGTAAGGAACACATTAGGGAGCAAGATGTTGCACTGAATTCATAATAAAACGAACCTTTGAGCACATCTCGTGTAGGCTGGTGGCTATGTTCTTGGCAGGCGAGTCACAGCGGAAGACATGACACTTCAGAACTTGAGTCAGGTTGTCTCGAGCCACATAAGCAAAATCCCTGCAGGTGAAATGAAAAATGGAAAAAAGGTCACATTTACATATTGAATCATTAATACAACATTATGTGTGAGCCAGTTTGGACTTAATATTTTATACAGCTTTAAAAAGATAGGAATTGTTAATTTGTACCTTTCCCTGTTCATGATGGAAAATGCAGCATGAAAGAGAAACACCATCGTTAGAGTCCAGCGAGACAAGAAGCAGGCAGAAATAGTCGGGGTTGTCTTTTGTTTGCAACGCTCTTAACAATCCAGCAGAGGGCAGCAGTGCGCCATTAAGAAAAGATTATATAAAAGTACAATGAGATTGTCATGACAGATTTCTTTAGAAATGCCGAAGCCTCTGAGCCACGATGAATCACGAGCACAGGAGGAGGAACGTTATCTTAAACGGGACCATTAAACAGCTAGATGTGCTTTTTCTCTCCTAATCTTTCCTCCATGTCAAATGAAAAATATACGATTATTCAAACTAATCATATGTAGTGTAGTAGTGTAATGACATCTTCATTTTGACCGTGTTCTGTGGACACTGACCTGCCGTTGTCTCTGCCAACACCCCAAACACGGATGCTGCCGATGGGCTGAGCATGGAGCAGAGTCTGACCCAGCGGGTCGATCAGGTTCATGGTGTCATTCTCCAGAACCATCAGCATGTCCTTACCCTGTCAGGCAGGCGCACACACACACACACACACACACACACACACACACACACACACACACACACACACACACACACACACACACACACACACACACACACACACACACACACACACACACACACACACACACACACACACACACACACACACACACACTATGAGCAGCCTGCCTTAAAAACATTTCAACTATCACAGTGATGTAGGCTGCTATAAAGTGGATATCTACGCGTGCATTCATATACATTGTAACTCAAAGTATTTTGCTTCAATTCAAATATCAATCAATGAAAACTTCTCTTAACAGCTTAAAAATAACTTGAATTATATTCACATTTTCCCAATGGATGAAGTAACGTCATCAATCACTTTGTTTAACAATAACCACCAAATACAAGGTTTTCTTGTTTAGACAAAGTACAATTATTAAAATCTGTGTGTGAACTTGTATCTTGTCAAATGTATCTACATCAGAGTGGACATTACAGGAACCCCCCTCACCTCTCCCCAGATACCGGCGGTGTCATGAAGGTTGTGTTTGTGGTAAGAAAGCTGCCGGATGCAGTTGTTGACAGCAACGCTGCTCTTGCCGGGTACCATGTCCTCCTCAGACATCTCCACCCAGCCCAGGGAACGCACCGCAAAACACTGACGACACAAATATGCAGCACATTAGCGCAAAACAGGCCAGCACAGGGAAGGTGAAGAACAATTAAGGTAGGACAGGGTGGACGTTGGTGGTGTGCTGGATCCTCTATGAGTTGATGCTCTTTCAACACTGAACTACCTTAGTTTCTAAATCTGTGCAGAGTGGAGCGAGCTTCTCCTCTTCCTCAGACTGGGAGCAATTGTAACTACAATGAGAGAGAGAGAGAACAATACGGATAAGTAACAGAAAGAGAGTAAGAACAGGTGATAATACACCAACTATTAACTCATCATACTTCAGGTTTATGGATGCATAGCGTAGAGTCGCTCCTTCAAACTCCTTCAGACTTTGATCAGATGCAACCTCAGCCTCCTCCTGAAGACACGGACGAGAAGAAAAACAGTAAACAATGGAACTCTTCACTTTTTCAAAGATGCTAACCCATCTTTTATGCATTTTGAGTACATTAAATTATATTTATGCCGCAACTTACATTCCACACTTCCCCTTCACCGACTCCTTCATCTGTACTGGAGAGATGAGCCCAGGATTCCTGGAAAATGTAACAGGAAATATTAGTGTCTCCAGACTCTCAAGATATTTGCCTCCATCCAAGCGAATGTGTGTTAGACCTCACCTCAGTCTCCTCACAGGGTGTAGTCTCCAGGGACATGGTCGAGGACATCGTGGAATCGCCCACTTTCCCCTGGGCTGAAGGAGGCTCCCACTGGGTGGTGCCTGTGGGGATGTGCCAGTAGTACGTGCCGGATGTATCGCGAACCCTCATCCATCCTGAAGGCAGGTCCGTGTCCGTCTCAAAGGCACTGGAATCCCAAAAGGACTCTGAAGGGCAGAAACACAGGAAACGGACATTGTTTAATGTCTGGTTGAAAAAAAACAACAAACATAAAAAGGACAGGTTCTGTTAAATGTATACAGACAACAACGCAATAGTTGATTCTTAAAATCAGTAAAGTATGGTGTCTGACAATCGGATGAACTGGAATTCTTTACAAACTTAACAACCAATAACCACGGCACTCTGTTGTTGCTGAATACTAAAATATAATTCTGCTGAGATTAGATTATTACTATACGTTGCTGTATTCAACTACTATAACAGTAATGAATACTTAGACTGATAAAATGAGACTGCACGGGCATCACAAACCAAAATGTTTGACCACATTGCACAAAAAAAAAAAGAGCATAAAAATAGTTTCCAATGCATAGATTAGTGTTTTACACCACAGATTACTATGATAATTAGTTAGAAGAAATTACAGATGTATCTGTAATTTGTTTAACGATTGTTGTAGTGAAAGAGAGGACCTTTAGCTCTTTCTGTGAAAAAAAGAAGTCCAGAACAAATTAAAAGTATTGACTCTGAAAGAAGTGCAGTACAAAATATAGGAAAAAAAGGTAGGTAGGTAGCAATAAAGTTACAAAAAAATTCTGCTTTTATCAGCAACACTTCACTTTAAGATACCGCCTTGTCATTCACTTCTGTTGTCTGTTTATACACCAGCCTCCACTCCTGGGTCTCCACAAAAGTTATATTAATAATAAACACTAAGTTACAACTACATTATAGTTTGTTATAAACCATTTAAGTACATACATACATACATACTGCTCGTAAATACTAAAAAGGGTAACCAAAAACAAAGTGTTGCCCTTTTATCCAATCTGCAAATCCATCTTCTGGACGCTCAGTGTATAATTATGTTGAATGACACCATCTACCAAAGCTTTCACCACACCTCCTCCATCTGTTATGGTATGTTGTTTTCGTGCATCTCATTCGTGCCGGCTGTGACACCCAACTGCTCTTTTCGGCATGTCAAATGTTGTATTATAGCATGAATGTGAGGCCCAAACATCACCTCCCATGTACTTCCATTTACCTCTGTTGCCATTGGGAGAGCAGTCAGCTGGGTTGTCCTGAGACAGTGCAGGCCAGCTGGGTTCCTCATCATTTGGTGTCCCGTTTATGTTGGAGAACAGTAGGCAGGGATTTCTCCCAACAACACCGCCCTCCCTCTCAGACTCCACATCAATCGGTTCTTCTGTCGCCATCTCTCCTCCGATATCACCGGAGGTCTCCTCGTCTTCCTCTGATGCCTTGTCCTTCTCTTTGACATCTTCTTCTCTCTCCTTCTCTTCTGTAGACTCCAGATTATTGATGAGTAGCGGCTGATTGAGGATGTTCTTGGACTCCTCCTGGCTGAGACCAGGAGTCATTGCTATCTTGGGAGACTTGGTCTGCTCCTCGTTGCCCTGTTGCTCTTCCTGAACGGTGTTCTGGTGAGGGAAGTCATCTTTGTTCCCATTCTGACTGATGTTGCAGTTGTGGTCCTGGTGGTTCTCGGCTACTTTCCGCAGCTGGTTCTGGCCTTCTTTGAGCCACTTGGCATTGTTGCCAGTGGACTCCTGGTCACACCAGAGACTGCTGTCGTTCAGCTTGTTCTTCAGCTCTTCGTCTTGTTTTTGTTTGTTCACAACGTATTGCATATCTTCATCATCAAGGCCACCCATGTTAACTTTCCATGTAACAGCGCTGATGGAGACAGAGGTTGAGATGTGTTAGCATTACCGTTAGCATGCTGGCGACAAAAAATGCCAGCGACAAAAAATGGTGAGATTAAGACAGATATTCAGATATATGTACAGTGACTGCTGGCTACAGATACATTCCGAAGTGTAAACCATGTCACTGTCGCTAAAATATAGTAGTAGTTACATTGGCTGTTAGCTAAAGCAACTAGCTAGTCACATTACAATCGAGAGACAGAAGTACGTTTCTTGTTCGTCTATCCGTGTTGGCCATCCCTGTGTTCACTTCACTGTTGGGTTGTTCCAGACAATATGAAACGTACTTCAGCAGATTCACCTTCCATTTGCCAACACGACCTTTTTCTATTTTGTATTGAGCTCGATATAAAGCCAGTCAAGAGCTCGGAGCATCACTTTAGATTTAGTCTGCTGCATGTTAACTAAAATCCAGTTCCACAAGCAGTCTGCGTACTGAATCACACCAATATTAATAGGAAGTCATGGCCGCAGCTGGAAATAACGGGAGCCACCCGCCACCATCACCGTAGTCATCTTGGCTAGGCTACTGTTAGCTCCTCAGCTAGCTCACGTTCACAAACAGGACAATCACAGCGACGAGCATCATCGAGCGGATGTTAAGAATCTCTACTTACCAGCTCCACTGAATCTCCTGTTGTCGAAATGTACTGAACTGTGCGAGCTAGCTACATATTTCCATAAATCCTGAGGACTGACTTGGTTTGTAGGTGGTGTTTTTTCTGTCAGTGGGCTCGACCGGTGATGGAGGGCGAACCTGCGTCACTGACCCACGTCACGAGCTCACTGCTGCCTCGCAGGCACAGAGCGCGAGGATAATTTAATGATTTAAAGTGGACTTTTCCCGACCGTTTTTGGACATATTGATCCGGTGCTGCACACATCGTCATCTGTAAGGCATAATGCATATATTCTGTTCCAACAGCAATATCTAAAATACAGAATACCGTTGACAGGCTGTGGAAAAAGGTCTTTAGTTCGTGTTTATGCTTTTTTCAAGGGGATAATTTGACCTCTGACCCTCTGGAAAACAGCACCTTGACCAGAACCATTTTTAACTAATAATTTAAATGTATTAATTCATTAATTTATAAAAGAACCTTTTTATTAATGACTTACACAAACATTTGCCTACTTGAGGTTTAATACACTTTATCAATAACTTACTAACTTTAGCTGATGGCATATTAGAATGTGAGAAATCTGATGCGTATTTTTAGTTATCAAAATGTATAATAACAATTACGCATCTTATTGGAAAGCAAGATATTTTTCATAACCCGTTTTCTTAATAATGACAAATATATGATCGATAAAGGGTGACTTATCAGTAAGTGGAACCAAAATATTCAACAAAAATATATATTTTTAGAGACATTCATCAAAGGAAAATTATATTAAAAGGACCAATGTGTCAAAAGTTTGTCTGGAAATATGTTTCACACCGACTTTGAACAGTAACATAAATGCATCGAAAATAAGAGATTGAAAACACACGTTTGAAATATTAAGCCAAGATAATAAAACCAAACAAACTTCCTGACTTCAATTTTGAGGCTAATAATTTGCTCTATTTCAATATCAGAACTGCTTGATTGTAGCTTCACATTCAAGCTTATTGATAACAGGGATAACTTTTAATACCTTTTAAAAAATGTATTTTGATTAGGTAAATGTATTTTGATATTTACTTAACATAATACAAGTTATGTAATACTTCAATTAACATTTAACTTTAATATGATTATATGCTGCTGGAAAATATTCAATATAGTTTCATCAAATTACTTTATAATCTTTTCCCCTTTAGGACATACAGTAAGGCTACATATAGCTCCATAAGTAATATAGTTATTCCATTATTATTGTTATTCCATATTGTCATTCGTGATTGAAGGTCCACCAACTTCAGCTATCTTTTTTTTTTTTCCTAAAACACATGACTTTTCTGTTGCCGTTATAGTAAGAAACTCATTATTACAAAAAGATCACAAAACCACTATTGAATTAACTGTCAGCAGTTAAATAACACTTGCCTGATATTGACGTTGCTTTTTAATGCTCATGTTTCACATCTCAAAGAATTATTCATTTGAAGAGTTTTTTTTTTTTTTCTTTCTACCAAATAACCCAAAAGCATCCAATTCCCACTATAAATTCCAACATTCAAGTTGCCAATATGATTCCTTTTTAATATACTTATATATAAATACATACATTTGTATAAGTCATTCTTGATTTTGGTTTCAACCAGTGATTCAGCACAAACAAGCAAGCTGGCGGCAGCACAGAGACAACACGCAGGTAGAAGAAACAACCCGTGAGATTGAGACAAAGTCTGAAGTAATCTAGACTAGAGGACCAAAACGATCAGAGCAAGTGAGAAAACATTACGACAGTTTGCAGGATGTTAACAGCAGCCCTTAATGTCTCGGTCACCTTCTGTTCACAGCTGCTTCTGATGTAGCCGTGAACGTGGGAGGAAAGGCAGCCCACATGCTCAACAACAAAACAACAAATAACTGTACCTGTGGAATCCATGAATAAATTACAGTCTGGGTTGCAGTGTTACAAGGAAAACAAAGTATTGAATGTTGGATTATGTTGCCAGTATTCAACATGAAAACATGATTTTAACACCTTTAGACGTCTTGAAAAGGAGAATACGTACTCCTTTTGTAGGAAAGTACATCATTTCATCATAAAAAAAACTGTTACATTGAGATTTTGAAGGGAAAGTAATGAAAATAAACTAGATTACATTCAATTATTTGAGTAATTTAAACAAGAGTAAATCAGCAATCTTGCAATGCAATTTAGAAAAATAATCCCAACATTGCAAAGATCAACACTGACATTTTTTGCTGCACCGGGAATAAAGCTTCTATGGCCAGTGTTACATCATTCTCAGCAGGTGAAGCTCTGCACATCACTACACAGCCAAGCTGTAAGGGACAACACTGCTCAGTACTCCCACAGGCACCACTCATACATAACATTTAGGATTAAGAAAAAAGTGTGTTTAAATGCTTGGTTTCAGACATTTGTCATGCTAGCCCAGTTACACACAGTTCTTTCCCCCACAAGACAAGCTTTGAGTTAATATGTTATTTGTTTTATAGAGAGCCAACATTATAGAGGAGCAGTTTCCTTGCAGGGTGACTTGTTTTCAATAGCCAGCCGACTGTAGTTAAGAAATATAAGGCCTTAAATCCACTGCCATGCTGACCTTCACAGGTTGTTCAGTCTAGCAGATCGAAGATGATTGTACTCAGTCCACATGATTACAGTTTATAAGAAGAGCAGCATCGGCAGACAGTGACAAAGATGAAGACGCTAATAAAAACTTGCAACACTTTGGGGGAAAAAAAAAAAAGAAGAAAAAAAAAAAAAAAAAAAAAGGTAAAAAGGCGTGACTGCTGCTGAATTCATCTCAGAAGCTACAGTGGCATTGAATGCAGCAGTAGAGTAAGAGTTTAAGGCAATACTGGTAAGCACCACACCACCACATCAAAGGGATACTTTAGGGGAAGAGTTCCCCGAAGTCAACGCTTCAGAACAGGAGGGCGGAGGAGGTCTTTCACTTGTCCTGCATTTTTTCCAGAATCGGCACAATCATGTCAAATTTAGGCCTCTTTGCCGGGTCCTCGTTCATGCATATCTTCATGAGCTTGCAAATGTGGGGCGAAATGCCGGGGGGGATGGTGGGCCTGAGACCCTCCAAGGCAACCTGCGGGCCAAAACAGACAGAGGGTTGGTGCTGTAGGAAAGATATATCTTGAATGCAATACAGCTATGAGTTGCAGTTTATTTGGCCTGCAAGCATTTGTAACTCAGCTGCTAAATCTACTGAACGAAAGGTAACTCTGCTAACCTTCATGCCTATTTCCATGTTGGAGAGGTCAGCGTACGGCACTTCTCTGGTCACCAGCTCCCACAGCAGGATAGCAAAGCTCCACATGTCTGCTGACCGGCGGTTGATCTCTTCTGGCTTCTTCTGCAGGGCTGGAAATCATAAAGAGCAACGAGCGAAGGTTACGCAGCGCAAACACAGGAAATGCCTCCTTCCCACAAAAAAACCCCACTTCCATTCAAGCACAGCTGAGCACACGTTTGTGACTACTAGGGTTGAAAGGCCCAGAATTTCTACATGAATGTGATTCATTACTTAAATACATGCAACACCACTGGATGAACAGCTGGAACTTGAGGTTTTTGTACTTGTGTTTAAATGCTAACATTATCTGAACATAGAAAGCATTCAATTATGCAGTTATTTTTGCAAGTGGTCAAATATCCATCCATTTATTGATGACCACATGCCACACACACATTTGTGCTCTACTGTTAACACTGTGGCACAAGTAATCATCTATTCTCTATGGCTGGTCAGGAGGTGATCTAAGAAGTGCTCGATAACCTTATCGCCCACATTTAGTTAAGCATGTGTGTAAATGTGAGGTTGATGCCCCCACAAAAAGGCACGGAATAACCGTCTCTAGCCACAGAGCAGCGGCTTAGCGGCCATGATTCACTTAACTGTGTGTGCTGGTAGTTTCACACCATCCAAAACAATACAAGTGAGCAAACTGTTTCTCCCCACTGTGTCTCACTTGAGGCCCCTACCCGCTGGGGGCCGGTTAGGTGTAGTGAGTGAGGAGTAAGCAGTCAATAATTTCAGTTTTAAACGGGCAACAAAAGCTGTTTTGAGAAAGTGTGCGTCATTGTAAACATGAGAGGTCCCTTGAGCTGTAAGTGAGCACCCAAAATATTATGCAATTGGTGCAACAGGATGTGAGGTTAGCCATGGACTGACACAAAGACGCACAGGCACTCACACCACAAATCTCATTATCTCCCGGAGATAAACAATTACAGATGGCAGGTACGAGAAATTCAAAATTCTGATCAAAAAGCACAAATCACAGATAAAGAGGAGAAATGTTTTATATAAATAAATGTACTAGGACTTTCTTTCACAATAATAAATCAACACAATGAAGTGAAAATATTCTGTTTTGTATTAAAACATTTTTAGCTGGCATACACAAGTATGTTTTAAATCCATGATGAAAATTCTTCTTTTTTTTTTTTTTTTAAATCCCATAATACACCCAAAACCATCGGCTATAAAAGATAAATACCATTATATTGCCCCATCAGTATCAGCGACTCGGAGACCTCGGTGCTTCTGTATCCAAATTAAATCTCAAGCTCCTTTTCCTCAAGCAATTTCTATCCATCTGTTCCAGTCAGTGATACAATAAAAAAAAAAAGCCATTTTTCTCCATAAATCATGACGGACACCTACTTACATTGGAATATATAATATATTCAGGATTAACGGTTGGTACATGTATTACTGAAACGTGAAAGGCTGGAGTTTATCTGTGTTACTTTACCTATTAAAGACTCATCGCTCTATCCATTGGTTATGTTACAGGGTTTAAACGTAACAAGAAGACATGCGAGCTGAAGATAAGTCCTATGGGAATTCTTCACCTTAGCCAAATGTGTACATTTATGCCTTATCAATAGCAACACTCTCTGTGCTCTCAATTTCATGGCTCACAACCCGCTATATGTAGACTCTGTGGAGGTTGCTTCTATGGTAACAAGCCTCCTGTATCCCCTGCAGTCACTGCCATCACGCCCCATCCACTGCGCTGTAAACGTAAAACCTTGTTCTGTGGATTGCCATTACCACATGCATCACTGCTGCAGATGTTCCCTGGTTGTTTCTGTTCATCAGTTTATGTTCACCGTATCTGAAGGGGACATCAGCTGTAGATCACATTTAGTTCTGAGACAGTCTGGAGTTCCCTGCATCCATCACTCACACTGGAGCTTGTGTCACTCTGGATCTGTGCTGTATGAGTGATGCTTACCCTCGGGGGCTACCCATGCAGGCGAGTACATCCTGCCAGGACACTGGAAGGAGAACTTGACATCTGCCATGCTGATCCTGGCTGTCATGTCTTCATCGATCTGTGGAGACAAGCAACACTGACTGAGATGTCACTTTTAAATGAAACAGAAAACACTTTCTTCTTCTGCAGTTTTCTGTGACCCGATCCTGAAAGCTCTGTTAGATCCTCAACTTCTTCTTACCATAACACTCTTGCTGTTGAGATAGTGGCGAGGGATCATGGGTTCAAGTGTGTGTAAGAAGGCCATTCCACAAGCAATGTCCAGCGCAAACTTCACCGCCTGTGTCTGGTCCACCACGAAGTCTAACAGTAGGATGAGAGATGAATCATGAACGGGTTTCAGCCACACTTACTTTCACCACATAATAGGACGACAGTGAAATTGCTGCTGTACAAAAAGTGATGGCAACATAATGACAAAGTGCAATAAATCACAAATCCCTGCCAAACACTCAAAATGGTGACAGGTACAGACTTTGTGACTGGAGCAGCAGTACTCACTGGTGCCTTCATGCAGCACGTTGTAGAGGGAGCCATAAGGCATCCAGTGTGTGATGATGATGGGGTGAGGGGCAGGAGGAGACTGACATGCTCCCAACATGGGTAGGACATTCGGGTGGGAGAATATCCTGGGATAGAGCCCAAGAGGGAGGCACAGGGGGGGAGACAGACAGACAGACAGACAGACAGACAGACAGACAGAGGATTTGACATAAACAGACGGCTTGTGTGAGATGCAATACCCCCAAAAAGAAATCATAAATAAAAGTTTGGTTCAACACAATGCAAACAGACAAATGAGTGACCGACCACAGCACATAGAGACTGTAGAACAGCCAGGATTAAATAATAACCTGAGTTTGGGACATTCCTCATTGAAATCTCTGCTTTTCCTTGTGGTCCAGTCACGAACTTTTAGCACCTTAACAACAATCTCATTTCCTTGCCAGCGCCCTTGCCACAGCTACGGACAAGAACCAGAAATAGAAAAATGGTGAAATGAACGACATGTAACTCTGCATGACCATTTAGTAATAAAAGGAACTGATGAAAGGAATATGAGCACGAGTACCTCTCCGGACTGGTTCTCATTTATTTTAGCCAGGAGAGAGAGCTGTTTGTAGTCAACGCCGGCATGTTTGTTCAAAGTGCCGTTGCCTAAAAACACAAGATGGAGTTCAGACAAAAGCCCGGTTATTCATGTGAAACTTCAAACATTCAAATTGGTTGCCCGGCCAGCGAGGAACATCGGCTCTTTTCTTGCAGCACGATGAGCGAACCAACTGATGGACGCTGCTCATAAACTGGTGTGTGTGTGTGTGTGTGTGTGTGTGTGTGTGTGTGTGTGTGTGTG